CACTTTCAGGTTCATGCTCAAAATCCATTTGGATCTTTAATGAAATTTAGAAAGAAATTTGATATTCAAATTTTGATTTAGAAATCAAGATATCGAAACGTTCTAAGCACACTTGCATTTTTAAAACTTAATTACAGCGAAAATTCGGTACAGATCGGCTGATCCGTGCAGTTATAAGATAAAGTATACATGTTTATGCAGATAAACAATCATTTAACTTAGAGAGCTTCTTCCGAAAAGATCTGTTCATTTTTAGGGGCCAAGAATGAATCAAGAAGACCCTCTATGAACTCTACAATAAACTATGACAAAAGAACAATTATGAACTGATCCTCTCAAAATTCTGGAGGGATATATTATATCAATATAAAACTTATCAACTTCCAATGCGGTCATATCAGAGATCCAAAACTACTAGCTTATTTGATGGATTTGTACTTCGGTCTACCGATTATGTCTCTCGGTTATTGAATAAACAGACTAATTCCATCCGCTAAACGGAAGTGATCTTCTGAAGCATCTTGAAAGGTATGAAAGGGGGCAGCTATGATCAGAGAATATATAGCCCAAAGTACTCGAGCGAAGTGCTTGTGTATGATCCAGTCTCCGCCATGTATTGTGGACCATTTCTAATTCGAACCTGTGTTTGAAAAAGACTACAGTGAATAGGCCAACAAGGCCTCTGTCATGCTTTAAACAGGCAGATTATAACACTGACACTTAGATCTGCTTGCTTGTAAACGGAAGTGATCTTCTGAAGCATCTTGAAAGGTATGAAAGCGGGCAGCAATGTTCAGAGAATATATAGCCCAAAATACTCGATCGAAGTGCTTGTGTATGATCCAGTGTCCGCCATGTATGAAGGTATGAAACGGTGGCAACAATGTTCATAGAATATATAGCTTAAAGTGCAGTGTCCGTTATGTATTGTGGACCCTTTCTAACTTGCCCTGTGTTTGAAAAGACTATCGTGGAATAAGGCCAACAAGGCCTCTGTCATGCTTTAAATATGCAGATTGACACTGTTTGTTTGTAAACGAAAGTGATCTTCTGAAGCATCTTGGAAGGTATGAAAGGGAAGCAGCAATGTTCTGAGAATATATAGTTTTCGAGGCGAAGTGCTTATACATGATCTAGTTTCCCTCGTGTATGATGGAACATTTCTAACTTGTCCAATGTTGAAAACGAATGTTTGAAACGGAATAAGACCAACAAGGCCTCTGTCATGCTTTAAATGGGCCAATTAACACTGGACACTTAGATCTGCTTGCTTGTAAATGGAAGTGATCTTCTGAAGCATCTGAAAGGTATGAAATGGGGCTGTAATATTCATAGAATATATAGCTTAAAGTACACGAGCGAAGTGCCCGCCATGTACTTGGGACCATTTCTAACTCGAACCTGTGTTTGAAAAAGACTAACGTGGAATAAGGCCAACAAGGCCTCTGTCATGCTTTAAATAGGCAGATTGACACTGACACTTAGATCTGCTTGGTTGTAAACGGAAGTGATTTTCTGAAGCATATTCAAGGTATGAAAGGGGGCAGTAATGTTCAGGAGAATATATAGCCCAAAGTACTCAAGCGAAGTGCTTGTATATGATCCAGTGTCCGCCATATATTGTGGACCATTTCTAACTCCAACCTGTGTTAGAAAAAGCCTACGTGGAATAAGGCAAACAAGACCTCTGTCATGCTTTAAATAGGCAGATTAACGCTGACACTTAGATCTGCTTGCTTGTAAACGGAAGTGATCTTCTGAAGCATCTTGGAAGGTATGAAACGGTGCAGCAATGTTCATAGAATATATAGCTTAAAGTACACGAGCGAAGTGCTTGTGTATGATGCAGTGTCCGTTATATATTGTGGACCATTTCTAACTTGCCCTGTGTTTGAAGAAGACTAAAAGGCCTCTGTCATGCTGTAAATATGCAGATTGACACTGTTTGTTTGTAAACGAAGTGATCTTCTGAAGCATCTTGGAAGGTATGAAAGGGAGCAGCAATGTTCTGAGAATATATAGCCCAACGTTTTCGAGCGAAGTGCTTATACATGATCTAGTTTCCTTCATGAAGTGTCCGCCATGTATAGTTGGCCATTTATAACTTGCTCCAACAAGGCCTCTGTCATGCTTTAAATGGGCAGATTGACACTGACACTTAGATCTGCTTGGTTGTAAACGGAAGTGTTCTTCTGAAGCATTTCGGGAGTTATAAAACAGGGCAGCAATGTTCATAGAATATATAGGTTGAAGTACTCGAGCGAAGTGCTTGTGTATGATGCAGTGTTCGTTATGTATTGTGGACCATTTCTAACTTGCCCTGTGTTTGAAAGACTATCATTGAATAAGGCCAACAAGGTCTCTGTCATGCTTTAAATAGGCAATGAACACTGACACTTAGATCTTCTTGGTTCTAAACGGAAGTGATCTTCTGAAGCATCTTGAAAGGTATGAAAGTGGGCATCAATGTTCATAGAATATATAGCTCAAAGTACTCGAGCGAAGTGCTTGTACATGATCCAGTGTCCGCCATGTATGGTGGAAACATTTCTAAATTGTTCTATGTTTGAAAACGACTATCGTGGAATAAGGCCAAAAAGGACTGTGTCATGCTTTAAATAGGCAGATTGACCCTAACACTTAAATCTGCTTGGCTGTAAACGGAAATGATCTTCTGAAGCATCTTTTAAGGTATGAAACGGAGCAACAATGTTCATAGAATATAAAGCTCAAAGTACTCGAGCGAAGTTCCTTATACATGGAATAAGGCCAACAAAGTCTCTGTCATGCTTTAAAGCAGATTGACACTAACACTTACATCATTTAATAAACTTATATAGAAATAGATTTCTGGACCAGCGACCAGAAATCTATATTACTAACGTCATGACGAACATTTTTTTGGTAAATATGAAGAGAGTGAGAGAAAGAGAGAGTTTTAAAATCAAATTACTAATTAATTGAGTTTAAATTTACCAAATATTTTGCTTAGTGTATACGCAGGTTCTTCTTCTTTTCCATGGAATAAAAAAATCAATATATTATTTATAACTCTAAAACAAAATTTATTAGGAATTTTATGAATATTGAAACTAGTTTCCATAAAAATATTAAAAACATTAACTCGTGCTACGGAAACACTAACAACTAAAGACATCTTAAAGATTAATTATGCATAAACTAATACAAACTTTTAAACAAGTTTTATGCGGCTATGACGAATCTTATATACCCAACCTTGTGATCTGTCATATTAAAAATGTCTGCCGACATTGTTGCGACATCTGATTTATATATATATATACTTTATATAAAAACATGGACAGCAAGATCATCTTAGCATTTCTTAAGAGGACCCTAGATATTTATATAGTTAGTTAGTTTCTAGTTACGATCAATATTTTGATGTGTCACAAACCGCCTGACAAAACCAATATATCTGCACGTACATTTCTTTTAATACTGAGTCAAAAGGGTAACATCTTTTTATGCATAAAAATAGATAAATACAAGATTTAACATTTTTTTGCAAAACAACATTTCTGTTTTGCTAAATCTTAAAAATCAAGTCTAAAATAAAAAAAATGTCAAACAATTTAAAATTAGTATCAATTTTGATCTTAACGCAAAGACTACGTTTAATAACATCAACAAAGATGTCGTCAAAAGTTGTAGTAGTTTGTGCCATATTGGCAATAATATCGTGTACACAAGCTGCAGATACGGAACCCTCAAGTCTATTGAAAAATGTCATACCCACGATTATGCAAAAATACTATAATTTGGCACCTACCGAGACCGGTTACCATTTAGTGTAAGTCGTTACTTTAAACGGGATACCCTAAGGATAAAGTAAATTGGTTAATTTTTGATTTCCCCACTTAATAGTGTAGAAAATCCAAATGGCAGTATACGTGAAGAAATGCAAATGATTTTGAATCCTGGTACACCCGAACAGGAGACCGTTGTTATGGGCATGTATACGATATATGATGATAAAACTGATACCGAAACTGTAACCATGTATACGGCAGATAAAAATGGTTATAGACCACGTATAACAATGAAGCGAAAAGTAAGATCTGCAAAACTAAATAAATCTTTAATCTCGAGATAATTTGTTTTAATTATTATTTTTATTCGAAAATAAATTTGAAAATTTGTTGTTTTTTTAATTCAAAGAAGAACTTTTTATATATATCCACCTTTCCATATATACATTAGTAAGTATTACTGTTATGGAACCATGTAAAATTGCAAGACAGTATAGACATACCCATCTGTATATTTGCACCATAGGCCACACATGTAGTAGAATTAAGTGGAGCCGATAAAATGTTTCAAATCAAACTAAAAAGTTAATTAGTTACCTCAATTAAATAGCAAGTTACGAAGGCAATATTTATACCCAAACCGGAAAATCTAGTTATGCGACACCAATGTCCTATCGACCGATAAGCCTTACGTCCTTCATACTTAAAACTGTAGAACGTATCGTCGATAGCATGGTTTACTGTTTTAAACCAAATAACGATCTCAAACATAAGCAACATGCTTATGTAAAGGAACGAATGAAATTGCCCACTATTCAATAACGTGCACACTAATGTTCTTATACAATTATAAACTTTCATATTGACCTGAAGCTCCGAAACTGGATTAACTACATGCTAAGGAACATATATGTATATAAGTTACGAGATTTCGCAGTACTACACAGAGTGGTATTTTGTGGCCTTTACTCTAGGTAAGCATGATTATAAAGCTATTATAAGGACATTAACTGAGAAAGCACTTAGACTTGTCTACTATGCAGACGATGTCTCAGGGGAATGTATCCAAATTACTTGTGTAGAAAAGCTGGCCTTAACCGAGAGGCCTGAATATTAATCTGAAATCTGTCTTTTCACAAGAAAGACAAAAATTGCAAAGTATGTAAACACTGTATCCTCGGTAAGAAGATACCGGTAACCGTTAGAATTAATTTCTTAGGTGTAATCCTTGATCCGATATAAAAATACAAGGTACATCAGTGCTGGGCGCTATATAGGAGAAGAACATGCAAAAAATGGGGCCTTAGTCCTAGTTCAATAAACTACTGGACTTCTTTGTACAAGTGGTGGCATGAGCACTATGTAAACCAAGGCTCTGGAAACATTGCTAGATATTCCACCCATTGAAATATATATAAGATTTGAGGTGTTAGTTGCTGGTGAATGGCTCTTAACTGTATAAGAACTGACCAAAGGCGGTTATAGGGCACGTCATCAATGTATACTGGACACATTAGAAGGCTATACAGAAACATTGGACATGTCTGATCGCATAACAGACATGGTCAAGTTGAACATTAGAGCAAATACCCGTAGGGATCCGTTGCTACTCTGATTGCTTTAAACTGGCGGGCAAAACGGGCCTGGAGTTCTATATTGAAGACTCTGAAACAGAAATATACTATCGCCTAACAATAACGGTACGGCTCTTAACTGTATGAGAACTGACCAAAGGCGTTATAGGACACGTCATCAATGTATACTGGACACTTTAGAAGGCTATATAGAAACATCGGACATGCCTGATCGCATAACAGACAAGTGGAACATTAGAGCAAATACCCGTAGGAATCCGTTGCTACTCTGACGGCTTTAAACTGGCAGGCAAAACGGGCCTGGAGTTCTATATTGAAGACTCTGAAACAGAAATATACTATCGCCTAACAATAACGGTACCAGACCAGTTTAAAGAGAAGGGAGTTCGATGTAGTTAACCTGACGAACGCAAAATCATTCGACTATTCGAGGGCTGAATTTAAAATATGGGCGAGAAAATTCCACAAAACTATTGGAATAATGAAACAGTGGGTAGAACAACAAAGATCCTATGGGGTGACCATAACATGTGCAGGACGAGAAACCTACTCAGAGTTTAGTATCATGGTACGTATTTTGAATGGACCCAGTGGTTTACGGACTTAAATATACAAAATTGGACTTGCGGATTTAGACGAATGTAGAGCATGTGGAGAGAACAGTAAAACTCTTTTGTCAGGCTTTCGTCGATATGAGATCTAAATATTTTGGGAGTGATATCCTTCACGAACACTGATGGGAAAATTATTAGGAATTACGTCGAGTAAACATCGGCCGATAGTATATGAAAGTGAATACTATATACTATATTATTTTTACCAATATACAAAAAGCCCGATAGTGGTCTAGTTGTATTTCATCGGATTTGTTGTAGTATACATCCTCCTACTAACCTAAGCTATGATGAGGTGTAATATATCAACATTAATAGAAACTGATTAGGCTCATGTTGAGAATAGGGATTTTAATGTGGTCAATTATTTATCGTTACTCCTAAAATTTGGTAAGGTTATGTTAATTTTTATAAAATTAGGATATATCATCGCAAAATTGATATTTGTTAGTAGGGTTCTATAAATCGGAAAGTCGGAAAAGTCGTAAAAAGTCGAAAAGTCGGATAAAGTCAAAAAAAAGTCGGAAAAAGTCGAAAAAAGTCGGAATAACGTCGGAAAAAGTCAAAAATAGTCGAAAATTTTAAGAAAGTGAAAAAAGTAAAAAAATAGTCGAAAAAAGTCGAAAGAAGTCGAAAATAGGGCAAAAAATCGAAAAGTCGAAAAAAGTCAAAAAGTCGGAAAGTCGATTATTTATAAAATACTGAAAGTCGACTATTAACTAACTAACTAACTAACTAACTAACTAACTAACTACTAACTAACTAACTAACTAACTAACTAACTAACTAACTAACTAACTAACTAACTACTACTAACTAACTAACTAACTAACTAACTAACTACTAACTAACTAACTACTAACTAACTAACTACTAACTAACTAACTACTAACAACTAACTAACTAACTAACTAACTAACTAACTAACTAACTAACTACTAACTAACTAACTAACTAACTAACTAACTAACTAACTAACTAACTAACTAACTAACTAACTACTAACTAACTAACTAACTACTAACTAACTAACTACTACTAACTACTAACTAACTAACTAACTAACTAACTAACTACTAACTAACTAACTAACTAACTAATCTAACTAACTAACTAACTAACTAACTAACTAACTAATTAACTTACTATTTAAATAACTCACTAAATAACTAACTATGTAGTTCAATTTCGGAGAGGACCTTCATGTGATGTAAAATGGGTCCGATTATAACGGGTTTCATACTTAAGCATTGTCATAGAAAACTCAACGTACTAGGTAGAAACTTAGCACTCGCTACTAAAATACTAACTAAAAACATCTTAAAGTTTATATATCTGCATAAACTAATACAAACATTTAATAGTTCTATTGGACAATAGAAAATGTTATGTACCCTTCCGACAAAATTTCGCATTAAAATTAATATCGGCACAAACGATTTTTTAATAGTCCTAAAAGCAACATTTTGATTTGTTACAAACATGATGTCAAAATAAACGCTTTCAATGATGGATACAAAATATATACCAGCTTAACACATCTATTTACATAAAATAACTAAATATGTACTCAACATCTTGTATTTATAGACAAATATGTACATGATTTGACATTTTGTAAAAATACAAAAAATTTTATTGCAAAATGTAAGTATAGAGTTAAACATTATTATACAATATGAAATCAGTATCAATTTTGATCTTAACATAGAGAGTACATCTAAAATGGCAGCAAAATTTATACTATTTTGTGGCATTTTAGTTATTATATCGAGTACAAAAGCTGCGGAACCCTCAAATCTATTACAAAACTATATACCTATAATTATGCAAAAATACTATAAGTTGGCACCCACCAAGGCCGGTTACCATTTAGTGTAAGTCGTACTTGTATTATATAAATTAAATTTGTAATTTTCTTTACTTTATAGTGTAGAAAATCCAAATGGCAGTAAACTTGAAGAAATGCAAATGATTTTGAATCCTGGTACACCCGAACAGGAAACCGTTGTTATGGGCATGTATAGAGTATTTCACGACAAAACCGATACGGAAAGTATAACCATGTATACGGCAGATAAGAATGGTTATAAACCACGTCTAAGAATAAAGCGAAGTGTTAAATCAACAGATTTAAAGAAATCATTAATATCAGGATAAATTTATTAAAATTTTTTTAAGTTAAGAACATGTTTTGTATATAAATAAGTAAAAAGCGATGATCTTGCAAGTATTATTATTGGTATAAATAAATGTCGATCACCCTTTCGAACCCATTCCACTTCTATGCTATGTTATACGTTCGTAACCTCATATATACTAACACGATCTAGAAACGATCCGTCGAATTTCCCACCGAGTTGGCACACACAAATCAAGTTTATATAAGAAAAAAACTTGTCAGACTCTGAACAACTTTGCCAAGGAAAAAAGTATCAGACTTTGAGTAAAAGTTCTATAAAAACAACTTTTCTATAGAAAAAGTTATCAAACTCTGAGAGACGTTTCTATAAAAAAAAGTTATCAGACTTTATCAAACTCTATCTAAAGCTATCAGACTCTAAGCAACTTTTCTATAAAAAAATTTGTCAGACCTTGTACAACTTTGCTATAGAAAAGTTATAAGACTCTAAACAACTTTTCCATAAAAAAATTGTAAGACTTTACCAGACTCTATCAAACTCTATTTATCTAAAGATACCAGACTCTGAGCAACTTTTCTATAGAAAAATTTGTCAGACATTGAGCAACTTTGCTGTAGACAAAGTTATCAGACTCTAAGCAACATTTCTATAGAAAAAAGTTATCAGACTATATCAAACTCTGTCTAAAGCTCACTTTTTAGAAAATTTTCTTTATAGAAAAACAAGTAAGAAGTTATAGTCGGGCAAGGCCGACCATATAATACCCTACACCAGTTATAAACAGAAAATGTGATTTAGTGTTCATAATAAAGCATTTAAGTTGAATTGTACCTTGTCTCAGATATACTTTAGCCATTTTTTGTTGAATAAAATTGTGTACATTTAAGTCATATTTCGAAGGGGGCTTTGTATAGTGGCTAGGGTCAAATGAGACCCTATCATCAAAAAAAATCATCAGGGCCATGAAGGCTATAGTATAGAACTTGCTTTTGCAGCTTTTTGTCGAAATACGTATATATTGAACATAATTATGAACTTAAAAGCCTTACTCGGTGGGTTCATTTGTATAGGGGGCAAGGTCAAATATAGGGTCGATGTTACCCATTTTCATTAGGATTCAATAGAAGATAATGTGCAAAATTTCATTGAATTATTTTCAAAATTGCGACCTGTACTTTGATTACAAGGTTTACAATCCCTTTTCGGGGGTTCAATTGGTAGGGGGACTAGGTGAAATAATGGACCGATCATAACCATTTTCAATAGGCTTCGTCACTGAGACAATAGAAGATTATGTACCAAATTTCTTTGAATTATCTTATGAAGTTTGATTACAAGGTCATAGCTAAATCGACTCAGAAAATTATCCGATTGTTATACTTTAAGGAGGGTATAGGACCAATATTATTGTGCGTTACAAACATCAGCACAAACCTTTTCTCTTTTTTAAAGATTTTCGAATTTTCGAAAATTTCTAATTTTTTTTTAAATTTTCGAAATCTCTTTTTTAAAGAAAATTTTCAAAATTATCTCTTTTAAAAGGAAATTTTTGAAATTTTCTTTTTTTTATAGAAAATTTTCAAAATTTTCTTTCTTTATAGAAAATTTTCGAAATATTCCTTTTTTTAGAAAATTTTCGAAATTTTTGCCTTTTTATAGAAAATTTTCGAAATTTTTGCCTTTTTTATAGAAACTTTTCGAAATTCTGTCTTTTTTATAGAAACTTTTCGAAATTCTGTCTTTTTTTATAGAAACTTTTCGAAATTCTGTCTTTTTATAGAACGTTTTCTCTTTTTTTTATAAAAAATTTTCGAAATGTTCTATATTTTATAGAAAATTTTCGAAATTTCTCTATTTCTCTATTTTATAGAAAATTTTCGAAATTTTCTCTATTTTATAGAAAATTTTCGAAATTTTCTCTATTTTATAGAAAATTTTCGAAATTTTCTCTATTTTATAGAAAATTTTCGAAATTTTCTCTATTTTATAGAAAATTTTCTTTATTTTATAGAAAATTTTCGAAATTTTCTCTATTTTATAGAAAATTTTCGAATTTTTCTCTATTTTATAGAAAATTTTCGAAATTTTCTCTATTTTATAGAAAATTTTCGAAATTTTCTCTATTTTATAGAAAATTTTCGAAATTTTCTCTATTTTATAGAAAATTTTCGAAATTTTCTCTATTTTATAGAAAATTTTCGAATTTTTCTCTATTTTATAGAAAATTTTCGAAATTTTCTCTATTTTATAGAAAATTTTCGAAATTTTCTCTATTTTATAGAAAATTTTTCGAAATTTTCTCTATTTTATAAAAAATTTTCGAAATTTTCTCTATTTTATAGAAAATTTTCGAAATTTTCTCTATTTTATAGAAAATTTTCGAAATTTTCTCTATTTTATAGAAAATTTTCGAAATTTTCTCTATTTTATAGAAAATTTTCGAAATTTTCTCTATTTTATAGAAAATTTTCGAAATTTTCTCTATTTTACAGAAAATTTTCGAAATTTTCTCTATTTTACAGAAAATTTTCGAAATTTTCTCTATTTTACAGAAAATTTTCGAAATTTTCTCTATTTTACAGAAAATTTTCGAAATTTTCTCTATTTTACAGAAAATTTTCTCTAATTATTGAAAATTTTCGAAATATTCTCTATTTTATAGAATATTTTTGAAATTTTTATAGAAATTTGTCAAAATTTTCTCTTTTATAAAATTTTCTCGAAATCTTCCCTTTTGTATAAAATTTTTTTCGAAAATTTTCCTTTTTATAGAAATTTTGCGAAAACTTCCTCTAAAAAATTTTCGAAAATTTCTCTATTTTATAGAAAATTTTCGAAAATTTATATTTTTTTATAGAAAACTTTCGAAAATTTTTACCTTTTATAGAAGATTTACGAAAATTCTTATTATTTATAGAATATTTTAGAAAATTTCTCTTTTTTAAAGAAAATTTTCGAAAATCTCACTTTTTTTAGAGAAAACTTCCGAAAATCTCTCTTTGTTAATAGAAAATTTACGAAAATATTTTTCTGTTTATAGAAAACTTTCGATATTTTCTCTTGTTTTTTAATTTTCGAAAATTTGTTTTAAAAAACTTTCGGTTTTTCGAAAATTTTCGATTAGTTTCACAACTTTCTTCTTATAACTTACATGAATTATAACAAATTTCATTAAAACACTAAGAAACATATTCGAAATGAAAAAAAGCACTTTGATCTAATTCGTGAATGAGTTTTTTTTTCATTTTGAATACGATCTTGCATTATAAATATATTAAATTTTAAGAAAATATAATTTAATCATATAAATTCTTATTGTATTTTGCTTTTAATTGTATTTCGAGTTTTGTATGTAAATGCTAATTGTAATTTATTCACACTTGCAAATAGTAAATTTTAAATTGATTGTTTTTTTTTTATATAAAATTTAATTTTGTATATAAAATTATATTTTAATTGTATATAAAACATAAATTCTAAAAATTGTGCAGTTTTAAAACTGTCAGTCTTCATTTTGAAAATGAAATATATGAATGAATGAATGGAGTTTTTTATATTTAATGCCAGTTAAATGTATGTAATAATGAATTTATGTATTGTGTGAATGTGTGTATGTATGTATTCATGTACGTATGTATATTAGATGAAATATGCATGTAATGAAGCTTAAATTACTTACTTAAAGATATTATGATTATGATAAATATATTAAAAATGAATGAAAGAAATAATGATTTAATGAATTATAATGCTAAAGTGAAATTTTCTGATATTTTAATGAACTTAAGATATATATAATTGGTTTCCATTAATACTAATAAAGTAGTAAAGTATTCGATAAAAATTAAAAAAAAAATAGTATAAAATATCAAAATTAGTTTGTAATTTCAAAAGTCCTTTACAATTACAATACAGTTCATTGTTCCAGATTTTCATTAGCAGCATATTGATTAATAATATCTTCAATACAGGTCTTAACATAAGTCTTTTGTGGCTCCTCAATACTCTCCAGTTTGGGCAACATTTTCATGAGGAATAGAAAATCAGTGGATAGATTAATATTCTTATGTAATTGATTGTTGGAACTGTTGCCTACACTACTAACACTACCATTTTCTTTGCTTTGTTTAAGGCCGTTAGCAGAGTTATTGCTGTTGCTTAGTAAAGTGGAGGCATTAACAATGACCGGTGTAGCACCAATAGATTTCTCGGTTTTACAAAAACCATTGTTATTATTATTGCTGTTATAATTTAAGTTATTGGTCACACCCGTTACTACTACTCCTCCAGAGGCTGCCAAGGGCGGCCAATTATCAATTCCATTACTTTGTAGTTGTTGTTGTTGTGGATGGTATATGGCATGTTGTTGTGTTGTGGCATTGACTGGTATTATTTGTGTGGTAATTATTTTGGTACGATTCTTTTTTGGTGGCAAAGTTAAAGGCAGTCTTTCATTGTTTTCATTGATTTTCAATAGGCTCCTCGATGCGTTTGTATTCTGTTCAGCTGTTACAATTTCTGTTTTACCATTTATTGCTGGAATATTATTGATAGAGCCACCAACACTATTACTACCCTTTTTCGCTTGTATACAATTGAGTATTTCGGGTAAAATCTTTTCAAATTTCTGTGGCAATTGTCCATTGGTGGTATCGGTAAATAAAGTCAATTTCTTAGAGTTATTTGTATTATCCATTTTCATTAGTTTCTCCGCTTGGTCACCACCACCAATTCTATCACTTTCTTTTTCCTCCATAATTAAGTACATTTTACGTTTTTGACCCGTAGCCAGGCCATTGTTAATGCCACCAGCTGCACCACCTCCACTTCCTTTAATATGGCCACCATTTGTTGCAGCATCATCAAATTTCTCTGTTATCATATAGACTTTACGATTTTTCAATGCTAAAGCATTTGATTTGGCCAGCAAACCAGCATTTAAGGTTTTTATAGCATTCTCCGTTAGTTCAGCCATTGTTGGACCTTGACTCTGCTGTTGTAGTGTGGGTGTTGTCGAAATATTTGGTGGCGGTGATTCGGCACAAGAGTGACTGCCATCACTTGTGTGCGAGATATTAGATGTTGTAGATGATATGGAATTTGTACGTTTCGGTGGTTGAACAATTATTGTCGATTGTTGTAGGGGCATTGTTGCAGTCGTCGTCATTGACGTCGAGTCCTTGGCAGTGATGGAGTTTTTTAAGACACTAATACGTTTCTGGAAAATAGATAATATTTTTTTTTAAATCTGAGTGGCAAAGGGAGTAATAATTCTAATTCCGTGTGATAATTTTTAGAAGGTTTGATCTAGATCATGTTTAAAATTTCTAGAACTGTCTTCATGTAGCAGTTTAAACCATTTTTTTTTACAAGTTTTCTCAGATATTGATATAACTATGACAGAAAGTCTACAAACTTATCATTTATTCCCCTAGGCCATCAACATTTTGAAAGCATTAGATCTACCAAATATTTCGATGCAACATAAGTACATACATACACACATTCATCTTAAAAATTAGTATAAAAAGAAGGTAACTTTCTAAAAAAAATTTGAAAAGATTCTATTAAAAGGAAAAATTTCGAAAAAGTTCTATACAAAAAAAGAGACATTTCGAAAATTTTCTAAGAAAAAGGTTAAAATTTGAACATTTTTTATGTAAAAGAGGAAATTTTGAAAATTTTCTATGTAAAAGTGAAAATTTTCTATGTAAAAGTGAAAATTTTGAAAATTTTCTACGAAAAAAAGAGAAAATATCGAAAGTTTCTATAAAAAAAGAGAAAATTTCGAAAGTTCTTTTTATTAAAAACAGAAAATTTCGAAAGTTTCTATAAAAAGAGGAAACTTCGAAGGTTTTCTATAGAAAAGAGATAATTTCGAAAGTTTTCTATAAAAAAGAGGAAATTTCGAAACTTTCTATAAAAAAAGATATAATTTGGAAAGTTTTTTATTAAAAAGAGAAAATTTCGAAAATTTTATATAAAAAAGTGAAAACATCGAAAATTTTCTATAAGAGACAATTTCGAACAAAAAGAGAAAAATTTCGAAAATGTTCTATAAAAAAGAGAAAATATCGAAAATTTTCTTTAGAAAAGACAAAATATCGAAAATATTCTATAGAAAAGACAAAATATCGAAAATATTCTATAGAAAAGACAAAATATCGAAAATATTCTATAGAAAAGACAAAATTTCGAAAATTTTCTATAGAAAAGACAAAATATCGAAAATTTTCTATAGAAAAGACAAAATATCGAAAATTTTCTATAGAAAAGAGAAAATTTCGGAAATTTTCTATAGAAAAGAGAAAATTTCGGAGATTTTCTATAGAAAAGAGATAATTTCGAAAATTTTCTATAGAAAAGAGAAAATTTCGAAAATTTTCTATAGAAAAGAGAAAATTTTCTATAAAAAAGAGAAAATTTCGAAAATTTTCTATAGAAAAGAGAAAATTTCGAAAATTTTCTATAGAAAAGAGAAAATTTCGAAAATTTTCTATAGAAAAGAGAAAATTTCGAAAATTTTCTATAGAAAAGAGAAAATTTTCTATAAAAAAGAGAAAATTTCGAAAATTTTCTATAAAAAAGAGAAAATTTCGAAAAAAATTTCTATAAAAAAGAAAAATTTCAAAAATTTTCTATAAAAAGAGAAAACTTCGAAAGTTTTCTATAAAAACGAGACAACTTCGAAAGCTTTTTATAAAAACGAGACAATTTCGAAAGTTGTTTTTATAAAAAAGAGAAAACTTCGAAAGATTTCTATAAATATTTTCTATAAAAAGGGAAATTTTTCTATTAGAGAGACAAATTTTCAGAGATTTTCTATAAAAAAAAAAATTGGAAGATTTTCTATAGAGATGAAAAATTTTTGAAATTTCCTATAAAAAAGAAAAATTTTCGAAATTTTGTTTAGAAAAAAGAGAGATCTACGAGTAAACTTTTTTACAAAATTATATAACATTTTCTTTAAAAAAGAGAAATTTTCATTAAAAAAAGAAAATATTTCAGAAAAATTTCAAAATGAAACATAAGTGTTTGAAATTATTTATAAAAAGGAGAAAATTTTGAAAATTTTCTATAAACGAAAGCAAATTTTTGAAAAAATTTACGAAATAAACTCAAATTTCAACCAAACTATAGAAATTATTGGAACTGATCAACATTAGAAATAAATATACAAATATCCTTTTCTACATAACCTACGTAAAGCTTTTAATGCTTTCAATATAACAACAACTTTGTTTACATAGGGGTATATATAAATTGTCCACATATGTATGTAAATGTGCCTGTATTTATGTATGGATTCCATACTAAGGAATATGTAAATATGTACAAAAACAAATACTTTTAAAGGTAGTCTGAAAATATCTTAAATAAGAAATAACACAAAAAAAAAAAGAAAAACTTACCTTGAAAACATGTTCTGTGACAATATTTGTGGTGGTGGTTACGGCTGCAGACGCCATTAATGCTTCCTTTTGCATGCGTGTTGGTGTCGTTTTTATTCGCGTTTTAGCCATTTGCAGCTAAAATGTTGACAGGATTAATATTTTTTCTGTTTGTTTATTGAAAATTAAGTTTTATGGCCGAAATGTGTTAACACAAATAAAAAACTTTTAATATATTTAGCCACTCGCATAAAAAAAAACTAGAAAGAGAAAGAAATGGTATAATTAAATTAGTTTCAATTAAAAAAAGGGTTAATTTTTTAGTTAAAAATTTAAAATGAAACGTTTAAGACAAATTTCAATAAAAAAGTAAAAAAAGCTTTTTTTCAAGTTGTTATTAATGCCATCACAATTATTTTGAAAAGCATTAAAAAAGAGTTGCCAAATTTTCAGACTCTGATCATTTTTTCTATAGAAAGAATTGCCTGATTCTAATCAACTTTTATAAAGAAAAAATGATCGGATTCTGAGAGAATGTAGCAACTTTTCTACGGAAAACTGTCAGACTCTGAGTAACTTTTCTATAAAAAAGTTGTCCGATTCTGAAAAAGGCTCTAAGCAAAGATAAAGTTGTCAAAATCGGATCAAAATCTTTATAGAAAAGTTGTTGAAACCTGATCAACTTTAATATAGAAAAAGTAGTCAAACTCTAAGCAACTTTTCTATAGGAGAAGTAGTCAGACTCTGAGCAAATTTTCTATAGTAAAAGTAGTTAGACTATGAGCCACTTTTCTATAGGAAAAGTAGTCATACTCTAATCTATATGAAAAGTAATCGGAATCTATAATCTATATATCAGAAAAATAGTCAGGATCTGAGCAACTTTTATATAGGAAAAGTCAGACTCTGAGCAACTTTTCTATAGAAAAAGTAGAGATAATCTGTACAACTTTTTTATAAGAAAAGTAGTAAGAATCTGTGCAACTTTTCTATAGGAAATGTAGTCAGAATCTGAGCATCTTTTGTATAGAAAAATTTCTCAGACGATGAGCAACTTTTCTATACGAATTGTAGTTAGACTTTGAAAAACTTTCTATTGGAAAAGTAGTCAGATTCTGAACAACTTTTTCAAATTAAAAGTAGTCACACTCTGAGCAACTTTTCTATAGTAAAAGTAGTCAGACTATGAACAACTTTTCTATAGGAAAAGTAGTCAGAATCTGAGCAACTTTTCTATATGAAAAGTAGTCGGAATCGTAGCAACTTTTTTATAGGAAAAGTAGTCAGACTCTGAGCAATTTTTCTATAGTAAAAGTAGTTAGACTATGAACCACTTTTCTATAGGAAAAGTAGTCCGAATATGAGCCACTTTTCTATATGAAAAGTAGTCAGACTCTGAGCAATTTTCCTATAGTAAAAGTAGTCAGACTATGAGCAACTTTTCTATAGGAAAAGTAGTCAGAATCTGAGCAACTTTTCTACATGAAAAGTAATCGGAATCGTAGCTACTTTTCTACATGAAAAGTAATCGAAATCGTAGCTACTTTTCTATAGGGAATGTAGTCAGACTCTGAGCAACTTTTCTATAGGAAAAGCAGTCAGACTCTGAGCAACTTTTCTATAGGAAAAGCAGTCAGACTCTGAGCAACTTTTCTGTAGGAAAAGCAGTCAGACTCTGAGCAACTTTTCTGTAGGAAAATTAGTCAGACTCTGAGCAACTTTTCTACAGGAAAAGTAGTCAGACTCTAAGCAACTTTTCTATAGGAAAAGTAGTCAGAATCTGAGCAATTTTTCTATGGAAAAAGTAGTCAGACTATGAGCAACTTTTCTAAAGGAAAAGTAGTCAAACTCTGAGCAACTTTTCTATAGGAAAAGTAGTCACACTATGAGCAACTTTTCTATAGGAAAAGTAGTCAGAATCTGAGCAACTTTTCTACATGAAAAGTAATCGGAATCGTAGCTACTTTTCTATAGAGAATGTAGTCAGACTCTGAGCAACTTTTATGTAGGAAAAGTAGTCAGACTCTGAGCAACTTTTCTATAGGAAAAGTAGTCAGATACCGAGCAGCTTTTCTATATGAAAAGTAGTCAGACTCTGAGTAACTTTTCTATAGGAAAAGTAGTCACACTCTGAACAATTTTTCTATAGGAAAAGTATTCAGAATCTGAGCAACTTTTCTATATGAAAAGAGTCAGAGTCTGAGCAACTTTTCTAAAGGAAAATTTTCTATAGAAGAGTTGCTCAAAATGTAGTCAGAATTTTGCACTTTTTCTATAAGAAAAATATTCAGGATCTAAAAAACTTTTCTATAGTAAAAGTAGCCAGACTCTGAGCAAATTTTCTATAGAAAAAGTAGTCAGACTCTGAGCAACTTTTCTATAGGAAAAGTAGTTAAACTCTGAGCAACATTTCTATAGGAAAAGTAGTCACACTTTGAGCAACTTTTCTATAGGAAAAGTAGTCAAGCTATGAGCAACTTTTCTGTAGGAAAAGTAGTCAGACTCTGAGCAACTTTTCTATGGAAAAAGTATTCAGACTTTGAACAACTTTTCTATAGGAATAGTCACACTCTGAGCAACTTTTCTACAGAGAAAATTACCAGACTCTGAACAACTTTTCTATAGGAAAAATTTCCAGACTCTGAAAAACTTTTGTATAGTAAACGTTTCTATAGAAAAAGTTGTGAAACTCTGAGCTATTTTTCTAAAGGAATTGTTGTTAGACTCTGTTTTAAGAAACAAAATTATTATGAAATTAAATTTCTCAAATGTGTAATGCAATATTAAGGTAAATGGCAACACTGTTGGTGCTGTAAGCTCGTGTTTAAAAACAAATCTTATAGTAAAAGCTTTGGGTCTTTGTAACAGTCATTGAGTCATTAAACTGAACTGAGTGTATTAAACTGAAAATAAAGCTTTACGTTTTGCTTATATTCAAGTTTACATATTATTTAAAGGGGAGAGAATTAAAAATGAGAATAAAGCTTATTTGCTGCTAAATCAAGTTCACAAACTTTAAAATGCAAAGTTTTTTTTTGTTGCATTATTTTTCGCTTAACTTCTACTATCTAGTTTTTTTGTGGTTGTTTTTGTGTGTTTGTTGTGTTTTTCTATGTTATGTGTGTGTGTGTAGTTTTTGTCTTTTATTAGATGTAGATTGAAAGTATTATGTTGGTTTTTCTTGTTCGTGTTCTAAAAATAATTTGAGCGTCATTGTTTGGCTCCTTTTCAAGTTTTTTTTTTTTATTAGTATTTTCCTCCCTTTTTTATTTGAATTAGTTTTAGTAGGTGCGTAAAGTAAAAGACGAGTGTTTGTGTGTGTTCAATTATTTGTTGGTTTGTCTGTCTGTCGGATTCAGTTTATCTACTTCTTGCCGTTTATTTGTGAGGTTAGTTTGTTTTTATTGTTGTTGTTTATGATGCTTTTTTTTTTGTATGAGTATTTAGTCTAGCTTTTTTTATTTTAGTTGTTTTTGGAGTATGTGTGTTGTTGTTGTTGCTGGTGTTGCACAAAAATAAAATCTTATTGCAGATTTTTGTACAAGAACTTGCCGAACAAGTTTAAGGTCAAGTTTATGGTAAAAATAATTAAATTGCAAAAAAAGATGCCACTAAAGAATGCAATACTTTTGTTGTTGTTGTTGCTACCAACAATCTGGTTGCAATGAATTGGGGTTTTTTAATAACTTTTCATTTAAGTCATAAAATTTAGACACTTTTACTTAGTTTTTTTACATCTTTTTTAATTTATAATTAAACTTTAATAAATTTGAACTTTTTTTATAAATAAAATAATTTATTACTTTTTACACTTTCTTTAGTTTTTCTCAAACCAATTTTGTTTTTTATTTTACTTTATTTTCTTTTCATTAATTTGTCTCAATTATTTGAAACCAACCGATCCTCTTAGTTGTTCTTTGTTTACTGACTGACGACTCTAGTAGTTGGGAAAATTGCGAGTTCTTTAATGGTGTTTTGCAAATACAACAACAACAACAACATACAACTGCAATTTTAAAACTTTAAATTAGATCCCGTAACCAGACATTTATTTACTCAATTACTTTTTTTTTTACTTCTACACTTCACTAAACTGCACACAACAACTCACTATATACAACAACAACAACAATAAAAAACTCTAGCACTATAAAGTTTAGTCTCATTTAGTATTTCCATTTTTAACTTTCTCTCTATAATATGTATATCTCTCGCTCTCCTGAAGTTTGGCTAACTCTCCTAAAAGTTCTGTATTCCCTATTATTCCCAAAAGTTCAGTGCTTTGTTTTGTGTTTTTCCCTTTTCACTTTGCAAAAAGCCCTTTTTTCATAAACAAGTATTGAAAAGTAAAAACAAAAACTCATAAAAACTTAATCATATTCAAGCGCTTAGTTCTTAGTTTATGTCTGAATACTATGCAGAACTGCATATACCTAGTACCTTTAAATTGTTCATTTTAGAATCGGTATATATGTATGTATTTTTACAATATAGAGGCTTCATTAATGTATTTGTTTTTTTTTTGTTTGTTATTGTTTCTGCTGTTAACCAACCCTACTTTATGTGGTTGGTTGTCACTTATCGGAAGTGCACTTCTATGAACACACTCTCCTACATGTTGGTTTTAAATTTTTTCATGATTTTTGTTGTTGTTGTTGTCATTATTATTAGTGTGACCAAATTCAAATTAACATACAGAGCTGGCGACATATGTAAATACATAGTTTCAATAACAGAAATAAATAAAAGTTGTTCAGAATGTGACAGACACCATCTGTCAAAATTTTTGGTACAAAAATAGCTTTTTCTAAAAAAAGTTGTTCAGAATTTTGGTCCCAATCTAGTAACTCCATTTAAAGAAAAGCTTTATAAAGAATATCTATATGTTCAGAATCTGACAACAATTTCAAAAGAAATGTTGTCTGTCAGAGTCTGACAACTTTTTCTAAAGAAAAGTTGTTCAGGATCAGACAACTTTTTCTAAAGAAAAGTCGTTTTTTTCTTTAAAGATAGGTCTTTCAGAATCTGACAACTTTTTCTATATAGAATGTTTAGAATCTAACAACTTTTTCTTTACAGAAAAGTTGTTCATCTGACAACTTTTTCTAAAGAAAAGTTGTTCAGAATCTGACAACTTTTTCTAAAGATAAGTTGTTCAGAATCTGACAACTTTTTGTAAAGAAAAGTTGTTCAGAATCTGACAACTTTTTGTAAAGAAAAGTTGTTCAGAATCTGACAACTTTTTCTAAAGAAAAGTTAT